GTTTATCATCTTAATAACGTGTTGGAGTGTTCTATTGTTTGTCTTTGTTAATGTTACTTTTGCTGTTTGGTCTGTTTTTGGTGATATACATTTGACGTGGCTCTGTACTTATGCATCCCGTCATTGTGTTATTTGTATTATTTTTCATTTTTACTTGACATGTGTGCTTTGTCCGTGTGACTTTTTATGTTTCTTTGATACATATGACGTGTCTCTGTACTTAAAACATCCCGCCATTGTGTTATTGTGCTATTACAATTTTTGCATACTTTGAACGACAAAAGCAATGAACGAGGTTGTTAAATGTGATATATGCTTTTTTGTTCTTCTTTGTTAAATATTTGTTTGCTTTTGTTGTGATTAAGATTGTGAAACGGGGTTGATTGCTGTACCCCTATTTTGACATTTTTACCTATTATGTCTGTTTGTTTTATTCACGATTCGTTATCAATATAATGGAATTTGATGCGACTGTCATACAAGTGAGAGGTTTAGCTCTATAAAACCAGTTTCAATCCACCATTTTCTACATAAGAAAATGCCTGTACCAAGTCAGGAATATGACAGTTGTTGTCCATTCGTTTGATGTGTTTGTGCTTTTGATTTTGCCATTTGATTAGGAACTTTCCGTTTTGAATTTTCCTCGGAGTTCAGTATTTTTGTGATAACTTTTTATATCTACATATCTTTTTATATAAATTGGTTCTTTTGAGAGTATGTTCAGGTATTCATAAAACTTCTGAAAATAAGATATTCTTGAAAACCAAGTTTTCCTGTAGAATATTTGGATTGATTTAAGTAAAATCAGGAAATCCTTAAAATTTAAGATGTTTTATGAGACCAAAAAAAGTCTCTATATAAGAGGTCCCAATAAAGCTGGTGTGTTACTCTCAAGGAAAATATACGAAACCTTCCTATAACTTGCATGCCAAGGGTTTCACTTCACATGGAAATTGGGACTTTAAATTTATCTATACAACATCTACCATGAGTACAGACAGCTTCAATAACGAGTTGAGAATAATTGAAGGCATCCTTGCAGGAAACTAAATATGAAGATAAGATAGATAAAATAAATGCATCCAAATTATAGAGCCAACTGAGTGCTTAAATTTATGTTGCGTTTGGTTTTCTCAATTTGCACTAGACATCCGGTTTGTAGAAACTGGGATTTTCAAAAGAGTTATGAAAAAATGATGTACTCTCCCAAGTAATAAATACAATAGTCGAGCTTTAAAATGTATATTCAAATCGTAGCTGTATATATACACTTTTTTATTTTTTATTCACAAGTATCCAACATTGCTTTCAACTGACTTGTGCAAGAATTTACACACAATTACATATTTTAATAAAGGGGTTTTAACATCATCATTATCTTATTCTCTTTACAGTCAATTATTTCAATTCAAAAGCAAACAAAAATTCAGCAACAATTTTTGGTGACCAGTTTGCGGTTTTGGGTGCACGTATTGCTTTTCTTTTTTTAAAAGAAAGCAACTTGTTTTTTATGTTTTCATTAATGTGAATATTCTTCATGGATGTATAGCACTGGTTTAATCACTTGTGTGTCTAATTTATCCTTTACAGAACGAACTTTTATCAAACGATATTTGTTTTACCACCCATAAAGACGTAATTATGAATTAAGATTTGTTTGACTGATTGGCAATACAGCTGCGTTTGATGTTTGTGTATTATGGTCCACATAAAATTGTGTGCATTTGAAAAAAATTACTGGACTATGTCGAGATAGTCGAACAATGAACACATTAATTTATCATAGCTGTGATGACGAAACGAAAAGTTCAACTTCAATGTAATTACTTAATTTACGCACCAGTAATGTAATATTTAATCTCATCGCAATACTTTAAATTTATGTTTTCTTTTCAAATAACGATATGTAGACTTAAATGCCGTAGTTTATATAACGATGTAGACTTAAATATCGTAGTTTATATGAACTGATGTTCTAAAAATAAGTCCAGAATATCGGACATTCCTTCAAACTGGAACAATGATTATATTTAGTCCATGTAAACTTATGAACAATTGACTAGTGTTAAATTGCGTGTTTGTGTAATATACGTTAACAACTGATTGGTATCAAATTAAGTGTTTGTTATTGTTTACACTAACAATTGAGTGGTATACAATTATGTATGTGTTGATTGAACGTCATTAATTGAACAATTTTATTCTATTCAACTAGCCCAATATTTGGTTTTAATTCAATAAGCATTTCAAGTAAACTCTAAGGCAAGACTGTGAATACAAGAACCTCTGGCACGCTGGAAAACAAGTCTATCGTAGCGACCTTTGTTCTAAGTAAATGTTAAAAGTTCCTATAAATCTCTATGGAAATTAAAGAAGAGTTCAACATGACAATTATTAATCTGACGAGACATCTGTATCAGGAAAATAATATCTATCCCAGTAAACAGTGCGTAATCTTTATAACTAAGATATATGTAAATGATTATTGCATAACGTAACACAGTTAAAAAATAAAACACTAAACAATAAACAGAAAAACGAAAAACCTCATCAAATATACAACAAATACCAGAGAAATAAACCAAAGAAACAAAGCAAAATAAAAAAAAAACGAAACTAAATAAAACGAACCCATCGAACAGATCATAAAACAGACACACGAATAAGAGTTATAAAAGTCTGACTCTTCTATCCATGTAAATTTTAATCAGATTCTTATTTATAAAAACAAGAAAACAGTACACGAATGAGAAAAATCCAAACAGCAACCAGACTAAAAGCGTTAAATGAAAAAAAACACGATTACAAAATAAGACGATATAACAGTACCAGATTATCTGCAAAAGCAATGTCATAGTTTCGGATAGTGGTTATTTTTTTAAAGATTAATTGGTAATCATAGGACTACTAACACTATTATTGAGGCTTTCTTATCCATTTGTAAAATGAAAGTTGTTTTTCTCAACTTTTGTTCGATGTTTTAATTAAAATAAAACATCAAAGACTTCAAAATGGAAAACAAAGTAACGATATTTGAATAAGGAAGTAACCAGCTAACGTATTTTCCTCAGATATAACATGTATAAGTATTGTTTTGTGAAATAAAGATTTCGGAACACATTGAAACATAAATTTACAGTTACCACTTTGACTACCTCAAAAACTTATAAGCACATATTTCAAAGCCTTGCATGATGAAAATAATCAATGTAGAATAGAGTTACTGTTGGTTCGGTAAAACCTCAGTGGACGGGCACTTTATTTATTTATCTTTTAGAACGATCGCTTAGTTCCAATCATTACAGCACAACTGATTTAAATTGAAAAAAAAGCTATTACAGCAAACGTGGATTTCTTACGCGCAAACGTAGGACGAATTCGTGCAATCGTAACGCGCCGGAAAATATAGTACGAAATCTGTTCCTTTGCTGTGAGATATGTCAATGCGCAATAGATTTCATTTCGAGATCTGATTAATCATGCATCTTCTTAATATGAGACATGAAATCAATTTCGCAATAACATCAAGTATCTTAATAGTGTTGAAAACCCGGGGTATTTTTATTTAAAATACACTTAGAATGTAAAACAGGATGTATCATTTAATCAATTAATGTTTTTTGTCACCATGGAGTGATAAACATTATGTCGCAATAAAACGAAAACAGGATCAATTAATTTTTAATGGTAAATGGTTTAAAAATAAATATGATTGAAAACTAAAAATACATTTGACTTTAATGGAAAATTGTCTCAAATCACAACTAAAAATTTTGTATCATTTCTTGAAAAAAGTAAATGTGCATGATAAAAATTTACTCCTCCTATGCGTATATCACCCACAATGCAAATCCACACAAAGTTACGGACCATACGTCTTTCCTGGTACCCGAAGGTATTAGACAGAGAAAACATGTCGCCAGTGATTTAAGACACAGACACATTGTATCTTTCATTAATTCCTGATTGTGGCCGTAAAAATATGTAATGCCGATTTCAAGAAAAACATAAAATGCGTTGTTCGTATTTGTTAACTAATATTTTATGAGAAATTAATTATTATGAAAACCCTTTTATATGAAATGGCGATAGTTGGGCATTTTCAACAGGAATTTTTGTTTTATACTATTTCCTTTATGTTTAGTAAATGTTCAGTATCAATTAGATTAGTTGATTTGTGTTTACGTTACATATACACTGCAAACATTCTTTGATAGGTTTTACTATATATTGTTTTTCTTATACTGGATTTGGTATCCTTTTTACCGTCGTTTAAGATTAAGTGATTTCCTGTACTGATTTTTTTTCTGTTCTTGTAATGTGCATTGGTTATAAAATGCATCGAGGATAAAAATGGAAAGGTAGTGATTTCATAAGACTAGTTTACTCCACAATGTGTAACACCGTTCATACTTCCAGGTCACTTCAATAATCTCGATTATACATTTTGGAAGTTGTTGTTAATGGCCGATCTTTAATAGTTTATTAATAAGTACAGTAAGGCGTGATTTTTGACAACAAATTATGAGGTTGGCACAAAATTGCCAGACAATTTTACTGTAAAATAAACAAAAGAAAACATTGGGACAAATGTTAACGAGATGCATATCAAGTAATGTTCAGCCCTATGCTCTTCAAAACAATATTTTTTATTGGAGCGTCACTAATGAGTGTTTCGTAGTAGTTACGGAATATACATGTATAATGAAGAAGTTTTATCAAAAGATACACAAAATCACAAGCATATCAAAACAATATAAAAGGACACGTGTATCACTGTGTATGTTATTTACTATCCCTGAATATGATATTTTGTTCGGTCATTTATTTTTGCTTTTTGCGTATATTTTTAATTTTTTGTGTGGTGTTTCATTTTGGTTGCTATCTTATTAAGATATACCCAACATATCAATTAGGTCATATCCATATGCCTGACAGAATAACATTGGAAAACTGCCGTTTAAAATTTACTGTTAGGGTATTTCCACTATGTAAAACAATATTTAGAAATGCAGTCATTCATAAATTATATATTTTAAACTTCAACATAGGTCATTTAAGTAACCAAACCTAATCAGACCTGGAGATATAATGCACGTGCATTTGTTAACTTTTATGTTCTGTTGTTTAAAAATGTACTACAGTGTTCAAGTTTTTGATGGAGAGTTTACAGGTCAAGTTGTAATAAACACAACCAATTCAGAAGGGTTTATTGATCGATTTATAAAAAAACATGATGGATATACATTTCAAAAAAGGGTACGTCGTTTTGTAAACACGGATTATTTTTTTTTTCAAAAATGATTTCTTTATTATTTTAATTTTATTGTATAATTATATGATATTCATTAGTAAATGTTAACTTCAAAAAAAAAATACCTCTACTATACACTTAATCTAAAATGACTTAAGTCAACTGGGATAAGTTTATCAAACTTTCTAATGTAAAGATTTAAAAATTGCAGTTACAAATATAATGTATATATAACAATTTAAGGCGTGTTCCATAGCATCGTACTTTTTTGTCGTATGACGTTGTATTAACTACATAAAAATTCTTACGTATGATATCATAAATTATTCCCCTGTGCTCCACTAAAAGTCAGATAATTGACAATCATATCAGTAACAGATCTCAGTGTGAGGCCCCCTCTCAACATTTATAACACAATGTTGACTGCTGTGCCTCTGTTTTTGACATATTTACCTATTATGTCTGTTTGTTTTGTTCACACATTGTTGTCAATATGATGGAATTTTATGCGACTGTCATACAAGTGAGAGGTTTAGCTAGCTATAAAACCAGGTTTAAGGTAGTACGGGTGTCTTTTGCTATCTTGGATGGTAAAATAGCAATTTATAACATATTAACTTATAATTTCTAAAAGTTTTACAAACGCATATTAGTTTTGCATGATTTTCAATGTTTTTAAATTGGCGTTTTAAGGAGAGGTAACTCTGAAATAGTACATTTTCTAAAGGAATCTACATGGGAATTTACTATTTTATTTTTAGCAGGAAAAAATGTACGGTGACCCTATCTTTTCTTTTGATATTCTGAAATCACTTTCTAAAAGCTATCTTCTCGTATTTTATTTTACAATTCTATCATTTGTGTATCTTATATTTACATAATGATGTTTTTCCCGGTATAATCCATACAAAATGTGTCATTTATTCTCAACCTGTAGCTTGAGAAAAAGCTCGGTGACCTATCATTTTGATTATATTTTTGAACAATATATACAACGTTTTGTCAAAGTATGAACAAATACTATCGTTTTTAATTTATACTCCTATACCACCTTAATCCACCATTTTCTACATAAGAAAATGCCTGTACCAATTCAGGAATATGACAGTGGTTATCCATTCGTTTGATGTGTTTTGAGCTTTTGATTTTGCCAGTTTATTATGGTCCTTTCTGTTTTGAATTATCCTCGGAGTTCGGTACTTTTGTTATTTTACTTTTTAAGGTCCTTGCTATGTATTGGCTACCTACATTACAGGAGAAAGGTGAATATCGACTTTATATTGCATACTCTACATCATATCTCAATTATGAAAATAAAAAATAGCAGTATTCTAGAATTAAGACACGGCCATTTTAAGAGATTCTCTCATATTTGCTTATGTAATTTTTTGGTCACTCAAATGTACACAAATGTTATTTTCCTTTTTTTGCTTGGATCTCGTGGACAGCAAACTAGCGTTTCCCCTAACATCCACTGAATAGTTGTATAATAATTTTTTTTGACAGAGGAATTATTACAAGTATTTATTGGTAAAAGGAAAAAAATAGTTCTGCATAAAAAAGAAAACATAAACTGTTTTACATAGCAATTTTTCCAAGGCTCTTATAGCTAGACGATGTTGAAATATGTATTTGTCTGTTGTACAAAACTGTTTCTTGCCTTTTCGATACATCATGTTTGTATGTGTTTGGTCTCATTGTCGTATACTTATCATCTTTACAGTTTCGAAGTATTTGTAATGATGATAGGGAACCTTAACATATGATTCATGGAGACGCTATATTCACAGGGTAATTCATTCGACAAACATTCCAAAATCATTTATGTAATACACAGGGGCGAGGTCAATATGACCTCATAAGGTAAGGTATTTAGAATTTTAAGGTAATTATAAATGATGTAAAAAAAATCCTTAAACATCAATCTAAAAGGTTCTAAAACGAAAAAAAAAAATTGCACATTAGAAGAGTAAACATCCCAACATTCAAGCAAATAATGAAATTTGTATATGCGTTTTTTTTTCTGTATTTATTTGCTTTGCACACATTACAAGCGTGCAATTTTTTTTTATATCTGCTCGGATTATCTTAATAGCTAGGTATGTTCAGGGTGTTATATCAATATTTATTTGTCTGGCGTACAACGTTTAATTCTGTTATGTATGATGAGTTTATTTACAAAGATTTTTTTGTTGCTTTCCGCAACAACAAAAAACTTGAATACGAATTTGATTTTTATCTGTTTTTGTAAAATACATCGATAAAAGTCGAGAATATATGAATGTCAAACGGTTCATATTGCAATGATTTTTAAAGATTTTGTTTTGCAACTGTTTATAATTGTTTCTTGAACAGTTTCAGATAGGGAGACATGAATACTTTGTATTTGAAATAAATGAAACGCAGCGCACACGTAAAATAAGCAAGCAGACAGAAGACTTCGACATTAAGAATTTAAAACTGGATTTGGAGGTACACTTTTTTATGATTGCTGCAAATTAATAAATAAAATAAAGGTTCTTAAGTGGTGGTCTATATTTCTATATTCTTTGATTGAAAAACCATTTTTTATCTATTCTTTATATTTGTCCTATTAATTTCCGCTTTTCTCTAATTTTAATAATTATACCATTTACTTCGTTTTTTCTATATTCGTTTAACCCCATCCACACCCTCATAAAATGCAATTATTTTACAAATTTTAAGATGGAATGAGGGGTGGGGTCTTAATTAAAATCCATAGATTTTTTTAATAATTTGTCAAAATATAGTTTTTATCATGCTTTTTTCCAAAACATAAAAAAAGTATGGGTCACCGGACTTTTTTTCACACTACAGGTTATGCAAAATTGTCAGATTTTGTATAGATTATGCACGGAAAATCCAATTTTGTGTGATAACAAGAAAACTACACCTTAGAATTTTAAGATAAAATGTTAGAAAATAGCTCTTATAACATGCTTCAAGTTAAGAAAAAGAAAAAAAACTGGGTCACCAGACTATGTTTTCTTGCTACATATTAACACTTCCTATTAAAAACATTACTTTATCTGAGTTATCTCCCCTACTTTCTGAGCTATCTCCCCTTATGTGGCAAAACTGAAAAGAAATAAATCAAACAAAATTAATGTGTTTTTTTTTTTACAGAAACAGCCGTAAATATGATAAACCACATAATTTTCTATATTAACATGAAAACTCTTACACATGAATTACATACTACTCTCAAAATTTGCACATTTCATTAAAGATCTAGACCAATTGTTATCTGCTACTTCAAAATCTAAGATGAAGGAAGACACCCCATCCACCTTAAACACATATATACATAATAGCCATACACGATTTGAGAAATAAAAGTAATAAACTGTGCAGGTATAGGAGTGATTACAAATCTACAAATGAAATAATAGACTAGTAATTATTAAAAAAAAATACGAAAACTTTTTGTTTTTGCTTTCAATTCCTTTAAAACACACGTACTCAAAATTTCGTTGTTTAGAGTTGAGGTTGTTGCACATTTGAATAAGATTTTGGTATACATATAAGTTTCATTTCAATGAATACTATATTGTTCTTAATATGAAAAGTACATAGTTACAAACCATATAACATATAATCCTATGATTGTGCTAAAACAGATCTACGTCATTTTGAAAAAGATACGGTATCAATTTGACTGATTGAAATCATATACATACATGTGACAATCATTACCTTTAAAATTTTTGTTTATATACTAATGTAAGACAATACGTGTATTTGTTTTTAAATTACTTGCTGATTGTTTACAAGAAGTATGGTTTAGTTCAGTTAAGTGCATTACTGTTCACTATTTTAGATAGATTTTGTAAATCAAGAAAAAAGATATCGTAGAATAGCAAAGACAGATGACACGGAATGGTCAAATTTGTGGCACTTGGTAAGAAATTTAAGTTTACCTTATTATGACTGGCAGACAATTTATTTCATTAAAATGATAAAACGGTTAATGATAACTAATGTACTGGTTTTCAGAAGAATATAAAACCAGGTCTCATTGTTCGGAAGAATGTTTTAATATTTTGGCTAAAGTTACTCAGTAATGGATTTTGTTATCACAAATTAATTGAAAGTTTTAATAAATAATTTCGTAGATACAAAGATTTGGTAAGGAGTTTTGGCTCTACCTGTAAAGTTTTCATAACAATGGGATATCACACCCTTAGTTTTTATGGACTTTTTCTTGGATTTCGGTATTTTAGATACGACCCATGTAAACTCGTTGATACTTTGAATAAACCTATTCTTAAAGGTTATCAATTTAACATTGTAGTAAAATCTATATAATATTATCAGACGAAACATGGATTATGTAGGTATGTGCACTCAGAATCCTACATTCTGTCGATACTGTTCACTTATATTTTGGCATTGCACAAGGCCATGCGTTTTACAGACTGTTAATGACGTCTTTACGCTAAATTCGTTGAATGTTTACTGATTGATACTTTAGTCTGTCTGTGATAACCCGATTTAGTTACTAGTTGTAACTAGCTTTGAACTAGCTTTTAGTAATTGCGAGTACTCTTATGTCGACTCTTAGTGTCTATAGTTTTTATGTTAGTTGTTTTTTTATGCTTCGTACTGATCTTTTGAGCTCAGACATTTGCAACTGATTTTGTTTCTTCTTGCGTATGCTGTTAAACAAGTCCCAAGTTAGGGAGATGACTGAGGGCTCACAAACATGTTAAACATGTTATTTATTTATGTCTCTGCCCCGAGTCAGGAGCTTGTATTTTAGTGGTTATCGATGGTTCATGTCATGGTTTCTTAAATTGTTTTGTAAATGAGAGTTTATGTTTTCTCGTTTGAATTGTTTCACATTTTTCATTTATGTGTCAATTATAGCTGACCATACGATATGGTTTTTTTTTATTTTTAAAGGCAGTTATAATGAAATATCTTGAACTCTGGTAGATAGATGTCTCCTTGAAAATCATACCACATGTACTTGTTTTTATATATAAAATTATTATCTACAAATCAGATGTTTTGAACACACAAACTGTCGATTGATGGTTGAATACGATTTCATACATAACGTTGTAATATTCAATCAATATTTTACAGAATGATGACGTATCACCTTCTATGAAGGTCAATGAAGCTTGGAATGCTGGGTATACCGGAAGTGGAATAAAAATTGCTATCCTTGACGATGGTTTACAGACCGATCATACTGACTTAGACGCAAATGTGGTATTTGAAATTGGCTTTTTTTGTAACATTAGATAATATGATTATTCCGTGAACGATGAGATTAGATGCATATGTTTGTTATATCATTCATCCTAATTGCTAATGTTGCAGTATTTTCATATTTTGTTATTATTATATCGATTGCATAGCGAATAGGGACATGCAAAACACTGGAAACAACATTACCAATAGGGAACGAAAAATCGTCCCTTTTGTCATAAATGTTTGTGTGTAGTTTACCATGTTACCGTGTAAAGCTGAAATACTGTATCTAAATCTTGAAAAGGACAGTTAGTACCTTTTATATTTGAATCAGGTTAAAGTAAGTTCATTTGGGTAAATTTTGGCAGTATAATTAGAAAGTGCTTGATTTTTTAACGAAAAATATCATCAAGATAACGGTAAGTTTTGTTGAATTTATCAATTCAATGCAATTTAGACGGGTCTCAGCTGCATTTGTTTATATTACAAACTGAGATTCATAACAGTACAAGATCAAATCTGCAATTAAAAGAACAAAATTGGTGCCACTATGAATACCTACCACCTGCTGATAAACTTTATTGCTGTTATGTATAATAATGTTGCCAAGGACAAAATTAAAAGCTTCATCTCACCTTCAGTAAGGACATCAGGCATATCTACCTTTCTTATGGTAGAAGAAGGCTTAGTTTTCTCGTTTGAATTGTTTTACATTTGTCATTTCGGGGCCTTTTATAACTGACTATGCGGTATGGGCTTTGTTCATTGTTGAAGGCCGTACGGTGACCCATAGTTGTTAATTTCTGTGTCAACTTGGTCTGTTGTGAAGAGTTGTATCATTGGCAATCACACCACATCTTCTTTTTTATATTTAAATGAGTTTCAGCAAATATATTTGCAATCAGATTTTTCAAATGACCATTTAATCACATAGGAAAACTATGTTTGATACGATTTTGTGCAAGTTTAGTGAAAAGAGTTGAAAAGTCAAAACTGTCGCAAGAATCAAAAGAATCTTCAAAAGCTTTGTCGGGCTGTACAAACACTAACCGCTTTGCGAGAACGAGAAGTTTGTTTCTTATTTTAGGAATAGGCGTATTATGTACCTTTTTAAAACTTTACCTCATTTATGTTTTAATTTCAGGACACAGTGAACGATTATGATTATCAAAGTACGGATGATAATCCGATGCCCGATGTTGGTGACAGGTATGGCAAAGGAAACGATGACGTTGATATTGTATATGAAGTTTGCATGTAAAAAATGAATATTGTCAGAAAAATATCACTGTTTACACGTTTAAAGGACAATGACATTGATATCAAATATGTGATATAACTAATAAAATGCTAATAATTTGCATTATTTAGTAAATTTTCTTACAAGAAATATGATATTTTCTCAGCTGTAATACTGATAGTTGTAAGATAAAAATATCAAATTTTTCTGCATTGCCCGTTTTTCGATTATCCTTAAGATGGCACATACTCTCTGTTAAGTTTTTATTCGAGCCTCACTAATGAGTCTTTTGTAAACGAAACGCAGGTCTGGCGTACACAATTTTAATCCTGGTATCTATGATTGGTTTATTTAAAATACTTGACAGAATATCTAAAGACCGGTTGATTTGATGCTCGATAAATGGTACAGTCAGTTGGGTTTCTTTTACACCCAAGTTAACCTAATCAACGATGCGCTGCACGTTGATGTCACAGTCATAATAAATGACTAATTTGATTTCAAAACTATGTTAAATGTATAGTTAATTGATAGCCGAGTCTTAATTAAAATGTATCCCTATATTCAAGACAATGGTATCCATTCAAACAATGCTGGTTGTTCATTTAGAACCTTTCATACGCTTAAGGCGATTTTGTGATAAAAATTTTCAATAACACATATTATTTTGCTGACCAAATGTATTGCTACAAAAAAAATGCATAAGGATACTTCTAACTTTTAAATATCAAAAGACTGGCCGACAATTTGGATTAATTAACAACTCATGGTTCATATATTTCAGAATCAGTTATTACCTGATCAAAGTTAATTGCATATCATTTTGATACTATTTAAAAATATATCCTGTAACACTTCTAAACAGAAAGGGATGCGTCAGTGACATAAAAGACATTGCAATGCGCCTGTCCAAAGTCACCAGAAGTGTCGTATATCATATCTAATGTGTTACGTTATTTAGCGAATAAGTTGTTGATGTCTATATTTGAATTAATCTGATTTATTTACAACTTCAATACAATTGGGATGATTTATAGTCTGACATGCATATTATTTTTATTCAAATATAAGAATCTGAATGTTTGCGAACGTATTTAATATGGACGATCAGAGAGAGTTTGAAGATGCATTACGAACGTCTCGAACCTTTTCTAAAAACAAAGTCTGAAGATACCAAGACCTTGTTGATACATATTCCGTATCAAATTCACAATTAATATATGATGGACTTGAAGTATAGATTACAGCTACTGACGTTGTTTATCATCTTAATTACGTGTTTTAGTGTTCATTTTATTTGCGTTTGTATATATATATATATATATATATATATATATATTTAACCTTTACTGTTAAGTCCATGTTTTGGTAATATCCTTTTTGCGTGACTCGGTATTTATATATCCTATCATTGTGTTATTGTGCTATGGTCACTCATTGTATTTTTGTCTTTGATTATACTTAATATGTGATTTGTCTATAGAGTGTCTATGAGTCTTTTTGATTTTCTTGGTTGACATACTTGTTTGTTTTTTATAGTGATTAAGATTATAACACAATGTTGACAGCTGTACCCCAATGTTGGACAGTTTAACCTATAATGTTTGTTTGTTTTGCTCATACATTATTGTCGATATAATGGAATTCTGTGCGAATGTCATACAAGTGAGAGGTTAGGCTAGGTATAAATTCAGGTTTAATCCAACATCTTCTACATAAGGAAATGCCTGTACCAATCCAGGAATATGATATGTGTTTACCACTCGTTTGATGTGTTTGAGCTTTTGATTTTGCAATTTGTTAAAGAAATTTTCGTTTTGAATTTCTTCGGAGTTCGGTATTTTTGTTATTTTTCTTTTTTATTATAAGAAAAGATAACATAACTTGTCAAATATGCGTTGATTATACTCGTGTTATCTATGTAACCAAGAACGTCGCGGAAATTGTTTGTGGAAAGAAATTCAACAGTAAACCCATTACTGACTGTTATAAATACCCTTTACTTTTTAAGCCATGGTACAAAAGTAGCAGGTTTGATAGCTGCAGAAAAGGATAACAACGAATGCACAGTAGGAATAGCATATGAATCTACTATAATTGGTAATTATGAGTTGTTGTATGGCATAGTTACACCAGGCAGTTCTAATAAGCATTCGAAGCAAACGTAGTTTACCAATGTTCAAATCTCATTTAGCAATTACAAAACCTGAAAGTTTAAAACTATAACTGGAGAATGAAATAGACTTTAAATGGAACAAGACCCGGTGCGTTGACAGGGTAAGCGTCTACTGCTTTGAATGTATCACTGCAATGCCAACCCACTCTCAATAAACATGTCACAATGGGGAATAAGACACAGTTAGTAAGTTTAAATACCGGACGACAATTCTGGTTCTAGAATCTAAGGATCGAGAAAACATGTCGGTAGTAATTTAATACACAACCATAGAGTATTGTTTCCACAATTTGTGATGGTGACCAAAAAATCATGGAGTGTCGATTTCAGTCGTTCTTCCTCACTTGGTAAAGTTTTTATGTTAGGAGCATACCCAAGTTTATGAAGACCGTATAGTGTGAACCTCTACGATCGTTACGTATTCATTTTGGTATGTAAACTATATAAGAAAGTATAATACTGCTAAGAAATAGGAAATTGACAATTAGAAAGTTAGAATCATGACGTTTGTCATAAACCTTTGGTTGAAGTTGTCCGTCTGTGTCATTCAGTAAACTTTTGTTACCTCTAGCTAGATGTCAAAACAAGAGTGATGTTATGCCGGAGCTGCGATAGGTAATACATAACAAGCATCTTCCCATGTTTTCATTAAGATCCGAAAAGGAGGATAATCGTATTAAAAATGCAGTTTTTCAATCGATGAACGAGATTTCAAAATAAGTTAACTACTGTCGCCTTAATTTACCAGCAACGTTCAGCGTCAAATTTCAAATTGATGGTTACAGCTCTTCTACAAAAAAGTTATACGCAAGTATCCAAGAAACAGATCGACTGCGATTGCACAAGATTGTTGCGAAATACATTAAAGGTATGTACTGTTCACAAACGATTTATTTTCAATCTCCTCTACCATATTCTATTGCAAGCGTAAGATGTCTTGCTTCTTTATAGGAAGGACGTTAGGTGTTAAATCTAGAATACTGCATTTTCTGTTTTATAACATCGTTATGCAATATGTGCACACTATATAAAAACGTACACGTATCATTTTCCAGCTCCATTTGTTTCCCAGCTAGAACATGAATCTGTAAATCCATTTTTAGATGACGTCAAAACATGCACATGCTGCATATATCTCCACGTGAGAGCAGAATTAAAACAATTTGTTTGTATTATTAGAAAAAAATGAAAGTGCTTCTACTGACTTAATCAAAAGGACATTTTGGTTACAGAATAGTTTAATTCTGCAGTAAAATGCTCATTAATTTTTCATTAAAAGGTGTTCGAATTCTTGGTACTAGCGGATTAACAGATTCTGAAGAAGCACAAGCACTAAATCATCATCTTAGCGGTATAGATATTTATTCCAACAGTTGGGGTCCTACAGATGGATATGGATTTTCTGAGCCCGGTACAATTACAAAAGACGCCCTTCTAGACGGAATTACTAGTGTATGTCTAAGATAGCAATATGTTGCGGTTTGAATTTGTTGCAGTGAAATGCTAATTGGAAATACCATAGAAACATTGTCTATTTTTCAGATGTCTTTGCCATTCACCTCAAAATATTACTTTAGACCCACATTGAAAATTTTTTTCTACACACACAGATGACCGATATCATAGTGTTTTAAAAGAAGCAAAACATTTGCAAGTGTTACCTTGTCGAAGATTTCTGAAAACAAGCTCATAGTTCTTTCATGCTGAAATAGAAACCAAGTCTTCATACACTTGAGAGTGCTTAGTTAAGTTTTTCCATTAATTTGTTGTCAATGCGAAATAAGGTTCTTTAATTTATATTGTTTTTTTTTATATATATTTTGGTCATCAGGGCAGAGGTGGCAAAGGTGTTATTTATACATGGGCAGCAGGTAATGGACAAACAAGCGATAATTGTAATGGGGACGGATATGTTAATAGTATCTACACAATTGGTGTGACAAGTGTAGAAGAAGGACGAAATGCATGGTACTCTGAAGTCTGCGCAGCTGCATTAGCCGCGACTTTCGGTGGAAGTAGCAACAATAGATATTTAGTAAGAATCATAATACGTAGGTATAGATATCCTGAATGTACAATTGATCCTAACTTTTTTAAGTCACTAAAGCATTGTCGGTTACCAGAACAACTTAATCAACAATGAAATACTACCAGAAACAAATATGTTCTCTTTTTATTATGATACTAAATATGAAAGATTTCATAAACTGAAAACATCGCCATCGACAGCTTTATTATGTTATTGTGAGGGAATACCTTATGTATTTTAACTAGAAAAATATCCCACTTCAAAAAGATAAATTTTAATTTTACGTGATAACGTTTTGTTTGAAACATAATATTAAATTTACTGTCTAAACGAGTCATTTAATTTTTTCAACAGTAATCCTTTTCAAATTGCCAATCTTAAACAATTTTGAAGTAATGTAACTCATAAAACAAGGTTTACTTATTGGAAGCATTAATCCTTTTTCAAACAATAATAAACAACGTATGATTCGGCATCTATTTTCTGAATTAATATTCATCAGGTGCTCTCGATTGCCAAAAGTTATATAAAATGTGTGAGAGTATGGAAACCAAAACTTCCTGTATAGCAGAGTCCAGACTTTAATAAAGTTGACTTGTTTCGCTAAAAGCTAATTTCAAACTGCCTGATAGTCACACCTTGAATATTTCTCATGTTATTGACATAAATATGTTGAGATCAAACGTTTTTATCCTGGCTTATTGTGAATGGCAACTAAATCATAACGTCTTAAGATACATTCTTATTACTTTATAGACTTCAACGACAACTTCTTCTGGTTGTACAAGTGATGGCATACAAGGGACCTCGTTTTCAACACCAATTGCCTCTGGTATCATTGCGTTAGCACTTCACGCAAAGTAAGTTTATTAAAAACTTTATCAATTGGATTTTGTGAAATGCAACTAAACACCATTTAGAATCATTTGCAATTTCAAAATTCTTTGCGAAATTTAGGAATATGTCCTTTTAGAAATAACTTTTAGCTCAACCTGCACCTTTATGTTTTAAATAACATCTTTCTTGATACAAAACTGATATAGAAATCATCTATATTTGTTTTAGTTCTGCGCTCACGTGGCGAGATATTCAACATATGATTGTTCTGACGTCATCGAGAAATGGTTTTACAGATTCATATTCCAGCTGGGGAACAAATGGAGCGGGAAAGGAATGTATGTACTTTGTTAGTAAATTAAAATATGGTTGTAGTACAGTTTTATAAATTAGTAAATACAAAACGTCTGCTAACAAACTAGGACTCAGCTACCTGCATGGTTTGAATGTCACAGTTTGATTGTAGGTTTAATCATATACTGGTTAATATCTGTCTAGAAACTAAGAACAATTACTCGTATCGGTCGAAAGACACAGTTCGACTGTCAAGTTCAATCATGTACTGGTTCATATGTGGTAAAAAAAATGGACTCATGTTATCGTAAGGTTTGAATGACACAGTTTATCTTCAAGTTACTAAGTAAATCATTCAATATAAGGCATCTGCTAAGAATCCAGAACTCACATATGCTATAGATTGCATTTCAGTAAATATAGATAATGCAATTTCCCATAGGAACTCCTTTTACGACTAAAACTGTGGCATTTTTACTATGACGTTTTGTAAAAAATATATCCTAGAATGGAAAATTCATATGCACAAAAAAAGATTTAAAGGTCAAAACATAGGGCTGTGCGGCATATTTTCAACATTTATATGTTCCGAACTTCTACGAGTTTTAACTTTAGTTATACTAATATTCTGTACTACCCCTCCCTTCACTTTGGGTTTCCCTCAGAATTCGATTTGGCCGCTTTTCGTGTGTTTTTATACTGGTAATATTCCTAAGTTATGTCTCTTTGAGATGAAACATAGATATCATATCTGGAAACCAGTACGTAAACAAAACAAAATATCTATGAACATTATATATTTCCCACAAAGAGGTGTGGTTTGTGAAACAGCTGTATTTACAAAAGTACGATACGTTTTGGCTGTAAAATTAAAGCATGGTTATCAGTTGCTAAGTAACTAGGACACATATACTCGTAACGTTTGAATCACACAGTTTGACTGTCATGTTTAATCGTCAGGATGTAAACTTCTGCTTAAAACAGTTTAATTCTTAAGTTATGTAATTTTAAATGTTTCATTTACTTACAATTTAGCACAGGAAAAGTTGATATCAGCATAATTCGTCTGTTTAGTCAATAAAACAATTGCTTCTTACGTTTTACCACTTGGTTGTTTTACATGGAAGCTATGGCTTCGGTCACTATCCAAGTCGAAAGTCGATGACCTTGACCAGACTACGAGTGCAGTAAAACTGTGCGACTGATTGTTGCAAGCCCCTGTCTTTCTGTACTCCTGTATTGTATCTGACTTGTACGACGTTTTTATTTTAATAAGAAAGTAATATATTTTGCATTTTAAAGACGATTTCTTATTTAAAGAGATTACTATAAACACAAAAAAATCCATATCGGTTTACGTACCAAAAACTAGGACGATATTTGGTCTTAAATAAATTTATGGTTTCGCGTTTACAATAGCACTTCTTCATTGTTCAAATGTATATGAAGCTACGTCTGGGTAAAGTGTTTGCTGATTACTTTGTTACATATCAGTGACAGAGAAGTAGACTGAAAAAGGCATCAAACTTCCAAAATTGACAAGCAAAAAACAAAAAAACCTTTTTCTATTTTTCTACATTCTTATATTCAAGGATATGGTTAATGTCCTGGGCCCGTATGCATAAAGCTACTTAAGTTAAGATTTTCCTTAGTAAACACTTAAGTTAAGAAAACTCCGCCCTTTTTACCTAAGTGGTATGCATAAAAAATCTTAAACTAAGTATTTCCTTAGTAAATTCTTAGTTGGTTTAAGTCACGCCCACACAACTTAAGTGGTATGCATAAAACCCCTTATACTAAGAAAACGCCTAAGATTATACTTAAGTATAAGGTACCTATAGAGCTACCTTAACTTTTCTAAAATATATAAAATCAGTCGAATGTATGCGTTTTTTTGCAGAACATGGATATATTAGCTCCCATTTAATTGAATAATAAATATATTCAGTGATATTTCGTTTGTTTATTGCTAAATTTTAACGATCATTGTAATTTTCGAAAGATCACCTATAATCAACAAAACCAAGAGATAACAGAGGGTAGTTTTATAATTTCATTCTACCCTTATTTCTCAATCTCGTTGGTGTGTATTCCGAAAAGTGCTCACAGTTTTTACACGCATGGAATTCATGCATTTATTTTTCTTTTGATTTGTTCGTACCTACTTACACAAATAACATTAAATGTTAGATTGATAAAATACATCGCCTGGTATCGATTGTAACTTTTAATACAAAACTGTAAGAAGATCTTTAGGTATGCAAAATCCTGTTTTCTTTGGGGGACATCGGTTTAATTTTCATTTATATTGTTTTTTTCTACATATATTGGGCAAATTACCCCTAAATTTGTTTCTCTAACTGGGACAAAATCAAAACGTTTTAAGACCTACTCCGTGGAATTCGAAGTTTATATATATGATATATTCATGATACTTAATCCGTATTCAATATTTTTTTTTATTTCCTTATATATTCTGCAAATTTTGCATAGAAGGAAGACTTTAACTTTAAATAAATTATGGTGTATCTGAAAGAAATGTATGTTATAACTTCCAATAAATTTTGGTTTTGGTTAAGAAAATCCTTCTTGTCAGTTTTAGATAATTGCTAAAATTTTCTAAAATCTGGCCAGAATGCATGCAGTTTTGAGTTATCTTTATGCGTTGATAACTTTCAAGTGAATTATTCAGAAATACGCAAAGATGTTGATAATACCTAACAGTAAAGATATGAATCTAATAATGTGTGTTTTAGTAAAAAATCGAAGGGCTTTTGAAAAAGGCCCCTGATTTGCTATGATTTCGTGGAAAATTGACCCTACCCTCTTTTTTTATTGTTATAAAAAGGAAGTGAAAAAAGTTTCAAATCGAAATAGATTTCAAAACATCTTATCAATATATTTTAGGATTAAAAAATATATTGTTGTCTCTAGAAAATAAACATGCCTTCCATCCAGCAACACCCATAAAAGATGAATGTCGGTGCCTTAGAGATGGAACAAATTTGTTTAATAAATACGACAAATTGGAATTTACTATCATATATCATTATTAGATGGATGATTTGCTACAAGATAATGTTGAGTATCCATTTAGAGGCTCCTCGTGTAATTGAAGTTTTGTTTGCAATAAAAAAAAATTGCTAGTGGATAATTCGATTTTGTTTTTTATATTTTACATTTATCACGCCATGCATAAGTTGTCCCACTTCTTTTGGATCTCTTAAAAATCTCTCCTCATTTAATGTTCTCTACTTATTAAATTGCTTTATATTTGTTATTTTCTTCTATCCCTAAGAGTGACTGACAAATAGAAATACGGTCACTTTGGTCTATTTCCGACCGGCAGTAAAACCCTTGTGAAAGTGGGGCGTCCGTTTTTCCAGGATGTATAAGTACGCAACCACGTACGGTCAGAATTGGGATCGTGTAGAGAGAGATTGGTATTGGTTATTTGTTCTCGTCCTGATGATGCATCACATATTTGCCATTGGACTTTAGGCAAGCATCAATACATCAATCAATTTCCTGTCAAGACCGTTTCATCTCTCCTTTAGTAACAGTAGGGGGAAGTTTTGCATTACAAATATTTTTTTCTCTTATGCGTCAATTTTTTATTTGTTTGGACATTTAAAGTGGTTACGTATTTTTTAATTGTTTTACACACCAACATCCATTTAAACTAAGTTAATAAAAGTATGTATTGTTCAATCAATGTAAATAATCAAAACAAACTTTTATACGGATGAGTACATGCGATGAGCTAACATATATCATACGGTAATTAGAGAAAGGTTCCGATTTAAGTATTCCTAAGTTAAGTGATGACTTAAGTAATTTTATGCATACCACTTACGAATTTTACTTAACTAAGGGAATTCTTAGTGAAATCTAAGTTTAAGGAACACTTAAGTTAAGGTGTTTTATGCATACGGGCCCTGTTTCATTTATTTATTGTTCAATTAAAGAAAGAAAACCAACACTTGTGGGAGACGGGCCTACATTGCATGCCTTGTCGGTTCCTACAGGTTGGATTCTACATATATATATATTTTTGTTCGAACATATTGTTTTTCTTAAATTGTTTAACATTTTATACCGATATAACATGTTACTTTTATTATTCTTCCCTTAGTTTATTTTATTTTATATTAACATTGTGTCATAGGTCAAATTTATTTGTTCAGTGTATGTTCACTGGTGTTAATATGTCCTTTGATTGAGTTAAGCTATTTCAGTTTATATTTTATAGTGTGTCTTTCTATGTTGTGATGTTACACTATTGTTTTAGAAAAAGGGTGAAAGTTTGGTACCATTAAAACATTTAAACCCGCTGCATTTGTTTGCACCTGTCCTAAGTCTGGAATCTGATGTTCAGTAGTTGTCGTTTGTTGATGTGGTTCATAAGTGTTTCTCGTTTCTCGTTTTTTATATAGATTAGACCGTTGGTTTTCCCGTTTAAATGGTTTTACACTAGTAATTTTTGGGGCCCTTTATAGCTTACTGTTCGGTGTGAGCCAATGCTCCGTGTTGAAGACCGTACTTTGACCTATAATGGTTTACTTTTATAAATTTTGACTTGGATGGAGAGTTGTCTCATTGGCACTCATACCACATCTTCTTATATCTATATACCCCTCCAGTCTAAGAACAAACCAAACAAACAGACGCATAACCAAACAAAACCAAACAAAACCAAACAACAAAAATATGAATAACACATTTAAGATTTGAACAAAATCAACAACATATGAAAATAAAATAATAAAGAAAAATAAAACAACCATTGATATACACGACTGTTTAAATATCAAATAAAAGAGTATATGAACCTGAAAATAAGCTTTGTCCTTTTTTGAGGAAAATAAAATGTAATTGTGAATAATAAGAATTGTCTCGTTTTGAGTTTTTTTATCCACATATTTTCGAATCAAATGTTTCAGTTTATTTTCGTACTAGCTCATTGCAGTAAATTGATATTCGGGTAGACCTAAGGATTGATCACATGACAGAATAATTTTTTTCATTTGCCATCCCAATGTCCAAAACGGGTGTTTCTTTAAACAAAGGCGCTGTGGTATGATTGCCAATGAGACAACTATCCACCAAAGTTAAAATGAAGTGGATATAAGCAATTATAGGCAACCGTACGGCTTTCAAAAGAGAAGAAATACCGTATAGTCGGCTATAAACGGTCCCGAAATGAAAGATATGAAACAATTCAATTCAGAAAACTAACGAGCTAAATCATGTAATTTATAACCAAACAAATTATGAAAAACAATCATGACAGAAATTAACCACAGATAACCACTGAATAGTCTATTCAACGTTGAAACGGATTCCGCGCTATCTCAATTTGACTTGACAAATTCATTGAAGATAATGAAAAAGATTCAATTTTCTGTATAGCTAGATTAAAACGACTCGGGAGATTTTTTAACTTCTAAGCAAGCAGAAGAGACCTTTGTATCACATTAAACGCAGTTGTTTTTATTATGGATAGTAAAATTCGGGGATGTATCAGAGTTTGTATATTCTTTCAAATGTAGATCAGACATGCGCAGTAGTGATAGATATGCGGTATAAACAAAGAACACTGATATTGTAAACACACAATGGCTTATACAATATCCGTATCATGTGCACAAGCGCCAGTGGTTTGTACAAAGAACCATGCAATGGTTACAGTTACTATTGCAGTTAATAGATTCAAAGCGACTTTATTCCATTTCAGTCATTGGTGAACATAATTATCCTTTTTATAAATATAAATTTTATAAACACTATTCATATAATTCATATCTATAAAAACAGGAACGTGGGTCACAAGGTGTACGATAAAGTACATTTGAACTCACTGAATCCATGAGTGACTCCATTCCTAAAAAGTGTACGTGTACCAGTCTTAGCTGTTGTTCTATAGCTGTGATAGCGGCAAAGTCGTACAATAGATTTTGGCCTATTTGACAATCGTCAACGCTTACTAATACCATTAACGGTACCAATTTTACTGCACCAGATGCGCATTTTTATGATGAGTTTATTTTCGAGAACAAGACATTAGAAAATCTAAACCTTATTAAAAAAGATGTTGAGCTGATAAACCAAATAAAAATACAAAAGTATAGCCAAAGCCGGGTACAGAAAAGCAGTTTGCATGAGGAGATGTAAAATAGGTTACCCTTTTCTACTACAAGCCGTATAAACTGCTATAATTAATTACCTACGTCAAATAAAAGCACTGCAAGAATGGAATATTTTTCGTAGTACCATACGCGGTAAATTACACAATATGCAGTCTTTCACTTGGTAGTAATGTGTAGAAACGATTTAACGTATTGTATCCTTACAATGATCTCTGGATATTTAATCAGTAGGTTTTTTGCAGATAGTCAAGTTCTTGGGTTTGGTTTGATGGACGCTGAAGCTATGGTAACTCAGGCTGCAATTTGGACGAATGTTCCGACACAACAAACCTGCGCCACATCAACATTCACTGGATCCGGGTAAATCTTTATTTCATGAATACATTTTCAAATACATTCGTACCTAAAAAAGCGATATTGCAGAAACATCAGCTGTGCACACAGAACTTAAAAAGTACAAACGTCTATCAAATTAGTTTAACTGGAAGCAGAGACAAATTTAAAGAAATTCATATATAAAAAGACAGCTAAATACATAACGTTTTGTTTTGCCGAAAACATTTGGTCTAAACAATCACAGGTTTGTGTTCTTGATTTGAGCTTTGATTGAAGTGTGTCAAATGTCGGCCTAACCCTACCATTAGATTTTGATAGTTTAGTTCAAATTACATTATGTACTTCATTGGTATAAAACAGTCATACAGAAGATCAGAAATGATACAAAAACTATCTACAATTATCCGTTACTCTGAAAAAATTATCTATGAATAAATTTATGAAAGAGAGGCGAAAGATACAAGAGGGACATTCAAACTCATAAGTCGAAAATAAACTGACAACGCCATGGCTAAAATAGAAAAAGACAAACAGACAAACAATAGTACACAAAACACTACATAGAAAACTAAAGACTGCGCAACACGAACCCCACCAAAAACTCAGGTGCTCCGGAAGTGTGAGCAGATCCTGCTCCTCATGGACACCAATCGTGTTGCTCATGTTATTACAAAACCGGTTATAAGTCTTATTCGATAGGTCACATTCGGGAAAAGGAGACGGGATTGTAGTTACGACATTAGGAACATATCCGCATTCATCTGTGCAACGGATATTCAATAACGGTCAATCAACTCGTGATTGCGTCCGTAAAACTTACGAATGAATGATTTCAACTTCACCACTTGGAACTTTTGGTTTAATAGCTTCCTTGCGAGAAGCAAGCCTCTATCAAGGAAATCATGATAGGAAATACAAGCCCTGGAATATCGTATCAACTGGGAGATATATACTCCGTATGGAGGTGCTGCTGGAATGTATACCGATGCCTTATTACAATGACCATGATGAAGTTCAAACGTTACAAAGAACAATAGTCAATAAGTTGCTGCATAACAGTGCTCAGTTACTGGTTACTGTCTTAAGAGTCAACTGAACGGCCGAAAGCGCCAACAGTGAAACTAAAAAAGTAATTTGTTTGTTTTATTCCGTTCATATGTTTTAATATATACGAGGGAGAGGCGAAAGATATCGAAGGTAATAATTTATGAAAGAGAGGCGAAAGATACCAGAGGGACATTCAAACTCATAAATCGAAAATAAACTGACAACGCCATGGCTAAAAACAGAAAAAGACAAACAGACAAACAACAGTACACAAAACACAACATAGACAACTAAAGACCGAGCAACACGAACCCCACCAAAAACTGGGGGTGATCTCAGGTTCTCCGGATAGTATATATATGTATATACAGATAAATTACATTAAACATCTTTGGTACAGTAGTGTCTATTTCAAAGCATAGCCAGGAAAACACATCCCAGTCTCAACATGTTCCTTTGTTATTAGTAACTGCTTTCTACCATGTTAGGTCCTTCAGACAGAATGAATGTTTGTTGTAGATAAAAACAATTATTTTAAGTGACATTGACGTCATTTTAGATCAAGAGAACGTTATATAACGGAATATAAATAACAAAACGATTTATTTTCGGGTTACATTTTGCATAGTTCATGAAATTCCACATTTTGCAGTATTTGTTTCAATTCGGATTAAACTTTCCCCAATTTAAGGCAACTATTGTCACCTTTGTAGATAAAATCACACGCTTCACATCTCGGGTAACCGCACTTGGTGAGTCTTCTGAACTGATTCGAGCTTTTGTTAGTCATTTCTAAGGTTTGGTACTTGACGTCTACTGTTCTAAACATATGACGCATCGTCTATTCATATTTTCATGTTTCCAATTGACTTGTGAAATGCTGGCAGTTTACACTTAATATGTATTTCAGACATGCAATAACTGCTATTGCCCTTTTCTTCACAAAAAAATGTTGTTTTGCAAATCTCGCAGAAGTGACTAAATAAATACAAATTCTTGATGAAATTCTGTAATGGTGAACTTTCCATTTCTATGTAGCGACATTCCAGCAGCGCCTGCATATGGAGTATACATCCCACAGATGATACTATATTTCAGAGCATGTGTTTCCTTGATATAGGATTGTTCCTTACAATGAAGCTACTGAATCAGGTGTTCCAAGTGGTGAAGTCAAAGTCATCTCTTTGGAAGTTGCACTTATAATTGTTTTTCATACTATATCGTAAATATGTACTATAGACACACAATGAAAGTACTAGTAGTACGATTGCCAATTAGCCAACTATTCACTTAAGACAAAAAGAAGTGGATGTAGCCTCAACTTTGTTTCTGATAGATATATGCTTTCTGTTTTGCCCCATGCGAAAAATCGACATTGGTATTGCTTTATACAAGGAAAATGGTCAATGTTGCTTGCAGTACTTCTAGTTTTGTCAGTTGGTGTAATGAATTGCAATTTTTCACTGTTAACTAAGCACTAACATTTCATTTAATAAAGAAACATACATGTCTATTTAAACTGTATTTGCAGATCAACGTCTGGTTCATCCTACACAACAGACATTAGATCGATCTCAGCTACCGACTGCTCTTCAATAACGTATTTGGAACATGTAACAATTGACATTTCGTTCTCATACACTGAATACCGAGGTGTGACTGAATTTTACCTGGTGTCACCTTCAGGAACAGAAAGCCATTTAATGCATTATCGATATGATGACGCTGTTTATTTTGACTCAGCTGGTTCATTATCATGGACATTTATGTCAGTTCATTTTTGGAGGGAAAGTCCCATTGGACAATGGACCTTGAAGTTTAAATCATACCGCGGCCTCTCAGTCGGTGAGTTTATTTTTTTTTTTCTGCCAATTTCATGGTTAAATACTTAATTGAGGGTTTTTAATCGCTTTGTATTATTTGTTATATTTATTTGTTCTCCACGAGATTGAATGATTTGCAAACTTTGTTATATCCTGCAATGAATATATCAAGCAAGAATAATTAAGCAGAGTGAAGTTGCCTATGATTTCAGAATATGATTGGCTATGTTAAAAGTTCATTTATTAGCTCTCTGGATCTATTGGAATGTTCTAAAATTGACACCTTTAACATGTTTAAGTGTATGACATAGAAATCAGAATATAGAAGGCACTCGAAAGGTAATTTCGTTTATCAAAACTGCAAATTTTATTGATAATGATTAAAGAAACAAATTCTTGCATAATTACTCGTGGATTATTGGAATTATCCAATCTCGATAATGCATTATCGAATTTTAAAGTCCCCACCGAGGCTCGGACTTTAAAATTCGATAATCTAACTAGCTCGATTATATAAATCCGATAATCCACTAGTACCATTGTAAATATCTTTATTTTCAGTACATACTATACGAAAAAAAAAATTTGAAAAAAAATAGAAGCAATTTAAATGTGGACGTCAGAAAGACTTGAATGCAAGCGTTTAAATATATAAAATCAAACCAATAGACTATTTTCATATTACCGACTTTTGACTCCGTATTATATAATGTGTCGACTGGTTACCTTGGACAACATGGTACTCGGTCAAGTAAGAGCAACCAAAATAAGTAAAATCAAACATATAATCGGTGTAATTTGAGGGGAAAGTTTACTGTTTTCCGATAATTTTGTAGTGAAAAAAAAATATTAACCAGGTAATTTTCCCCCAAAATTGTACCGATTGAACGCTTGTTTTACTTCTTTAGCTTGCTCTCACCTGACTTGGTACCATAATGTCCAAGGTAACCAGTCGACAAATTATATAATCCGGAGTCAAAAGTCGGTAATATAAAAATAGTCTATTGGAACCATAAGATAAATCAGAAATTAACATCAAGAATTAGCGCTTCCGTAAACGAAAATATTTATAGAATATAATCAAAATGACTAGTACCAAATGTGGAGCGGGATCTGCACCCTTGCAAATCACCTGAGATCGTTCCTGTTTTTGTGGATTATGTTGATAAGTCTATTGTTTTCCTATATAGTTCTTTGTTGATTTAATGCTTTTTGGTTTTTCTTTTGTAAATCCTAAGCCAATTATTCAAAAATTGCATACGTTAACATTTGTGATTCTTACATCGTATCTGGAAATTTTATTAAAGAGAAACATAATTGAAATAGGATTGCAAAAAGAATATACAAAAAATCAATGTTGCTTTCGCTAATCTGACTTACATTTATAGAATAAAAGAAGTCTGTACAATGTACACCTATAAACAGAAACAAAGCGCACGATAATAAATGAATGTAGAAATAGCAAAATAGGACAAGAAAGGAAATTTATTCATTCATTGTCATTTGTTTAACATCTAGATGCATTTATTTGATATTATTTAGACGAAAACAAATTATCAATAAATGCAATGCATAGCTTCTGAAACGTAACCTTGGTTGAGAGTTTTGATTGTCACTGGGAAAAAGTATTAACAGAATTACAGGACTCCAATGTAAATTGGAATAGGGGAAGTCCATAAAACCTTACAAAATCAAATGTCAGACTATATCAATCAACGGAACGAATGGAAAACAACTCTTATATTATTTACTGGGTACAGGCATTTCCGGCCAAAACAATGGTAGGTTAAACCTAGCTTAAATTTCACTTGCATGACAGTTGTTTATTGTTGGAAAAAGAGAGCTTGTTGAATACGGATAGGATTTGTGCTTGGCAACAAATAACCTACGGGTTCTACAATAGGTAGTTCAAGGTTTCTTAAACTAAAGCAAACTTTGAACTTTCCGTTCGCGTGGCGTCGGATTCTGCATCGTGTTTTCGACCTGTTGTAACTGTGTATTTATATTTCCCTCAGAGCCAAACTTACGTCCCTTTTTTATTTGGCATGGCTTTTTTGTCGGATGGAAGAGACGTTTATATTTCTATACCCAAGATATAGAAAGTGTATTCATTTAAAAAAGTTGTATTTGACTTCAAATGTACTCAATTAGATTCAGAATACCAAGCAGGAATGCATGCTTGACCGGATATTTGTATATTTTTTTTTATCACTAAAACATATACAACATATGGCTATAAGTAGGAAGACCTAATGAGAGGATGGTAAAGAAAGACTCCAAATTCCTTATCGGCCTCATTATTTTAGCAGTACATGTCTTTTTGTTTTTATTTATTTTAACTTTTTTAGGGGTTGGTCGTCCTCAGTATATAGTTTTCTTTGTTCCTTGTCTTAGAGATTGTTGTATGTCCTGGGTCGTTTTTCCGTTTTTTGTCATGGCGTTGTCGGTTTGTCTTCGCTTTATGAGAATGAATATCCTAATGTGATACTTCGTCTCTCTTTAACATTCTCTTTTTCTATGAAAAATTACCGCATTGTCATTGAAATCAATGTTAAATTGTCAATGAAATTAATTTCATATGACAAAAAAACATTTATGATTTCATGGTTAAGATTTGGAAGAAACGTTTGGAATCTGTTGTTTTTTTGTTTTTTTTTTCTTTTTTCATTTATCATCAGTAGAACGACTAAAAATCTGACTATGACGTGTGTTAATTGTTGACGTCATTTGTAATACAACTATTTAAACGATTTAAACTGTGGCAAAGTAAAAAAAAAAAGCATTTCTGCACTCACAGGGTTAACACCATACTGTTTTAATGAAACCTGGACATTTTCTTGACAGTATTTTAAAAATAAATATATTTCAGTTACTGTCAGTTCTTGGTCGATAACATTTTACGGAACTTCCGCAGATCCTCTTCCTAGTAAGTTGAATAAAACTATCATATGATATAAAATACCACAATCTCACTCAGGAAAACACATATGTATAAAAGACAATTTAGTATATAAGACTTCTTTTGATGTCAGTGAAAATAAAAATATCAAATAGATAACAAAATTGTAACATACAGTATTAAACAAAACACATATGCCTAAAAATATTGTAAATTCAGAACCTTTTACGATCGTTTAATGTGGAAAAATTTGAAATATAATTTGTTATGTTAGTGATCTTCTTGCATTGTGAATAAGACATTATACAGTTTACTCTCGTTGTCTTGAACTCGGTTGACTAGACATTGCGATTGAGTCAAAGATTTCCCGTGATCCCATGTTTCATATAGATACTAGTATATATATTTCGACTCCTGATGAGTCAAAATTGGATGAGTCAAAATTTAGGTTAAACCGAATCAAATGTACAGTCCCAACGTTAACAAAAGCATTTAAATTTCATGTTTTATCTCGAACAAATGCACGTATATCAACAAATTACCTCGGGAATTTAAATGGATTGACGAGTTAATCTTGACCATTATTACACCTGTAATTACATTATCCGGTCATTTACCATGTTCACCACTGCTGTATGATTTATGACATTGTTTTCCTACGATTATTTACAGAAGATAAACTTTGATCAATAAATAATTCCAGATACAATGTTATAGATTATGAAAAAAAATATTTCAAATGTTTTGTATCAATTAACCGTAATCGTACATTAATGATTTCTATTGTTCATAATGTGATAAAAACTAATCAGTCCGTGTTCTTATTCTTTTGTATTTACTATTGCGGAAAAAGATCGATCCCCTACCTATATTCATCTGGCTTTACTTTAACCTTACCAAGCTAATCAGGAGTTGTGTCCCTTAGTCTGTCAAACTTCCGGTATTCATTTGAGTCGAACTACGGGTTACTCGAAATATTCCTCTGGTCCGTCTGACTTCGAGATAACGAGAGTCGATTGTATAATATACAGACAAAAAACGGCTATTTCTGTCGCCCCGTTCCATATTTTATGTGTTTAAGTGTTCAGTTTGTTCAGTTCATTTAATTATTATTTCATGTTTTAGATATAGACCAATGTATATCATCACCATGTGAGAACAATGGGACTTGTACAAATAACGTCTATTCATATAATTGTCAGTGTACTGATGGTTATTCCGGGACAAACTGTCAGACCATTATCAGTAAGTACATATCATACTGTTGGTTTTAAATGTCTTAATTGTTACATTTTAACTAATTGCTCAGCAAAAAACAAGTTACATATTAATATACGTAGTTTTCAAGTGATACTAGTTTAATATTATGTTTTAGTTTGTCATTTTATAACGAGAATCACAAATGGTTTTAATGCAGTCTGTCGGCAAGGCCCAAACATGTTTTTTATCGTTGTCTAACTTGAACGTTTATCAATAGTACTTTTAAAGTTAATATATTTCAGCTACCGTCAGTACTCAAGGAACATCTACAGAACCTCTTACGAGTAAGTTAAATAAAACTACCATAGGATACAAAATGACACAATCTCACTCACCAACGTACATATCCATAAATTACAATAAAGTATAAAACTTCATTCAATGTAAATGATCGTCAATAAAGCCTCAATCCAAGAATGAAAATATCAAATATATTGATTGATTGTTGGTTGCTTAACGTCCAGTTTCAATATACACATTCTCATGACAAGTATTCTATACCTCGAATTTTGTATGATGGCTTAATGTTCAACAAAATTGAAATTTCCTGGTGTCGTAATAATCGATCTCGTATTTTATTCTAACGTTTCATGATGAATTTACGAATCCAACATTGGACATTGTTTACACTAAAAAATATCAGAATTTGTTATGTAAGGTTTGTTCTTGTTTTGTGAAAAAGACATTATATAATAAAGAGACAAAAACGACTTTGTATGACGCCCCGTTCCAAATATATTATATGTGTTATGTTTAAGTTTATTTATTTTATATGTCATGCTTTAGATACAGACCAATGTATTCCATCACTTTGTCAGAACAATGGAATTTGTACAAATAATATCTATTTCTATAGTTGTCAGTGTGTTGATGGCTATTCTGGGGCAAACTGTCAGACCATTTAGTTATATGCATCTCATTACAGATTATTCAGCTTCTCTTCTTGTTAAGTGTTGCTTAACGTCCAGTGGCTATCGTTAGGAGTACATTGCGGCGACAAATATTTAAATAAAGGCAACAGTAGTATACCGCTCTTCAATAGTCATAAATCGATTAAGCGAAAACAAATCCGGGTAACAAACCAAAACCGAGGGAAACACATCAACGCAACATTTTTTTATTTATATATATAGGAGTTCAATGTTTTACTTCTTTGTTTAAAGTTAGTGGTCATCATGTTGGTATCTAGAATATGCATTTCATGTTTAAATGTATATGGTCTAGAAAGAAAACGATTGAGGCTTGTGTGCACATACCCTCCCTCACACACATGCACACATGCTATACCTGTACTAATTAATACTATTAGTATTACTACTGCTAGTAGTCCTTTGTTCGTTTATGTATCATTGACATTTTGCTTAGTTTCTTTTGTTACTTATTCGGACTCGGACTTCTTTTGAACTGAGTTTTACTGTGCATATTGCTATGTGTTTCTTTATTCTACATTGGCTAGAGGTATAGGGGGAGGGTTGAGATGTCACAAAACATGTTTAACCCCGCCGCATTTTTGCGCCTGTCCCAAGTCAGGAGCCTCTGGCCTTTGTTAGTCTTGTATGTTTTTTTTAATTTTAGTTCATTTATATGTTTTGGAGTTTAGTGTGACGTCCATTTTCACTGAACTAGTACACAATTTTATTAAGGGGCAAGCTGAGGATCACCTCCGGGTGCGGGATTTCTCGCTGCGTTGAAGACCCATTAGTGACCTTCGGCTGTTGTCTGCTCTTTGGTTGGGTTATTGTCGTTTTGACATATTCCCCATTTCCATTTTCAATTTTATTGACCCTACTAGTATTTGTATTGCTGTAGTTTGGTTTTTCAAAAGAGTAATGTCTTCATGGTTGGTATTGTATCTTCTGCCAAATATTGTTGGTACTCAATATTATCATTTTAATGTATTATTATTATAATCAAAATTTCGTTTCCTTCATCATTCACAGATTGTTGTTCATACCATGTAAGTGAGATATTTGGTAACAAGAAAACAAGTCTTGTTATTGCTGACGATGATGGAGTACTGACATTTGAAATTATTCAGTATGCTAAGGGAAAAGGGGATAAATAAAAATTGAAATCCATCAAAATTTAAAACAACAAATTAAGTTGACATTTAACTTTAGTTTTACAAAAAAGGTGGATCAACACTAAACCTTACGGCAGGCATATTCTAATAGCACAAGGTTTTCTTTTTTAAATCATGCATGATTTAGTTGTGTGTTCGACAGGAAAATTACATTAAGAAAATATGTCCTTGGTCACTGCACTAATAAGGCTGGGTCAGGAATTGTCAAATATGTTGGGACAGTAACTCCTTGATTTATCAATGTTTTTTTAACTCATATTATATTGTTTAAGATATAGACACTACATCTCCTTGTCAGAACGATGTGATTTGGTCAAAAAACATATATTTAAATAGTTGTTAGTGTCGTAATTCCTGTGAAAGAGAGGCTAATGATACCAAAGCGACATTCAAACTCATAAGTCGAAAATAAACTGACAACGCCATGGCTAACAAGACGAACAGACAAACAACAGAACACAAAACACAAAACACAACATATAAAACTAAAGAAAAGGACTTATTACTCCACAAAGACATGTACAAATTGCATCATCATATTGATAATAGTCAGTTAAGATAGATCATCACATTGACAATATTTTAGAGCAGACAAAATAACACCAAGAGGCCTGAAACTGTCTCTTGTCCATCTGCTCGTCTATCAATATATTTCAACATATTAATTCCAACATATTAATCAGCATTAGTACCAGTTCGTGTATTAAGGAATGCTTTGATAGAACATATACAAATTTATTAGGCTTTTTGATGATTAATATAGTGCAATTGATCTTAAGATTTGCCAGGCAGTAAGGGAGTGTACACGGATTCCACTATACCCTGGCAGCTCTCGAGGGGTGCTCCGAATAACGGAGGAATCTTCAAGTATATACATACATACATGCATAACGTCCTGCTGGACAAGTTTATGTACTGATGTTTCACTATTTTAACATACACGACTGGCACATGGTCACTGTATCAGAACAAGGGAGCGTGAACAAATAACCTATACTTATATAATTATGAATATGCATATTTGGGACAAAATGTAATAAATATTTTAAACGATGACAGTTACCCTGATGTCATAAAATACGTGCAAATATAATTATCTATATTTATGTTTTCAATATTTTCCAGCTGAGGATAATGGTATAAGTACTACAGTAGTAGTTGTTGTAGTAGCTGGTTGTGTTGTTGTTGTAATTGTGATTGTAGCCATTGTAATTGCAGTTGCAAAGTCCTTTTCAGCTGGAGCAACAGTGGGCCCTGTCGGTGTTGCAGTTGTATGGCAATAGGAAATAACGATATACGATAATACACTTATTAGTACACATCAACATAAACAATTATGTTTATGAACACGTATTGCAGTTGTATGGCAATAGGAAATGATGATATACGATAATAACTTCACAACAAAATAAAGAAATTATGTTTTTGAATACATAATTGTTCAAAAGACTGAAAATGTATTGATTGCAACATTTAGAACTTATTTCAAATTAATGTAAATGGTAAAACCACCTGATAATTGTGTACTTTCAACATAAATTAAAGAAATTACATGGGTGGCAGAAAACATGAAAAGTATTACTCGTAGACAGTTTTGTCTACATTATTTGAATTCTGGACATGGTGCAAACTTGATTTATTAAAGTCATTGGAGAGATGTCAAGATGACATATCCTATGTAGATCTTGTTAAAGAATAAACCTCGGAAACTATGATGAAAAAACAGTGAATGGGAGTGGGGTGGGGTGGGCGATATAGTGGGGGAAGGAAGACAACTAGCTTCAACTTCACTAGATGTTGACAGTAAATTTAAGACAAAGAGTATCCCATTAAAGGTTTTATCAATGGCCTCCGTTTACATAATTCAGAAACTATATTTCGTACAGGCCAAATGCCTTCATTATTGTACCTTTGGACGAACGACTATATGAAAGGTTGATAAATGAAATGTCAATGAAATACACGTGAACGTCAATAGGCCCAAGACCACGAATATAGTTCCCTTTAATTAAAGTGTATTTTTTCTTTATTTTTTTTCTTTCCTTTTCTCATACATTTCTTAGTTTTTATAAGGTGGAAATGAAAGAAGAGAGCTGAAATAAATTTTTGGATGTTTTATTTTAACTGATTTTGATATGGAAAGAGTGATTAGGCCAGGTGCAAAAAGGTAATATTTACAGTTTTCGGAACATCTCTTTGACTTGTCCATAGGGGTATGGATGTGTATTGGCTAAATTTGTAAGATGTAAACGTTCAATTTTTCTGAAACTTGGATATATTTTTGGACTTGTACTGTTCATTACACACACAAAAGATTTGACAAAAAAAACAGGCAGTTTTTTTTTAATTAGACAAAACGTTATAAAGAACTAATAGAGGAATTAATTGTGGTCTGTAGCCAATACTACCTTTTTGCTTCGTAAAAGTACTTATCAAACATATGTTTTGGGGTTCTGAAAAGATGGTTCCAATACATGCGTTTAAACATTTTTTAATGATTTTTAACATAAAATTTTAGCAATTCCATTTTAAAGGGAATTTGTCTAATAATACAAAGAAATGAAGGTTGAATCAGTTTTTGTTAACCTTCTAGATTTTTTTGATATATTTGCAAACATGACAGTGTGTCAATGATAAATGTGTTTTATCACTGGCAATGATACTTTTGTGTCTCTATCAAACTTTTTTGTTGGATGTTTTTATTTCATAAACAGAAAGACTGATTGAAAAAATATACACTTGATACACAACAAAATGATTAATTGATTGATTTTTGATTTCTTAACGTCCAGTGGCAAATTACAAAAAAAATCAACAGGACCTTCAAAATGTTGATCATATTTGGTAAATATTTTGATGGTTGAATCAGTTTACTTTCTTTTTTATTTCGTAGGATTAAGTCAAAAGGATGACACTATTCTTTTTATTGAATGATTTTTCTGTTGCATATTGTGTCAAAACGTAAAATATGTAGCTTTTTAGAAAGACTCTGTAATATGCAACTTATTTAAACTGATAAATGTATCTGTTTGCTTATAAAAATTCCTTGTTAAATGTGCACATTTTGTTAACATTCTTTTTTAAGTAGGCATCATGGCATCATTTTTTTTGTTATTCAGATTTAAGAAAAAAAACTTAGTAATAGTATAAAACGAATTATTTGAAGTTGGATATTTCCTATTACATGGAAAGGTTTTACCAGTAGTCTACGTCGGTTTGATTATGCTAGAGGGTCTGGATGGGGTATACAGAATAGAAAATAATGGGCCAATACTGCAGAAAAATGGGTCAATCAATAAAGAATAGAGAAATGAAGGACCCCCCCCCCAAACCCCAAATCAAACCCGCATGCAAAACAGTGAAAATCAAAGACATAAAATACTATCAGAAAAATAATGAAAGGGGAGGAACAAAGAGGGAGATTTTAACCTTCCTCGAAGATGACTTTCTATTTTTTAAAGACAGAAGAGGGGGTCTCCCTTCTAGCACTGATGCGTTGGCAGGTATGCAATTCATATGTCTGGATCGTACTGAACATGCATGAAATATTTGCCACTGGACGTTAAGCAACCAACAATAAATCATATGTCTCGATTGGTGGTTCAGTGTTATTTATTACTTGAAAAGACTTATGTTTGTTGCTGAGATTTTTAGTTTCTGTCCCACTTCATACATGTACATATTATCAATTTATAAAAAAATAATATTGGATTATATCGTTTACAAATGTTTACATTTTTTCGTCCGTCCAATTTGTGGTAAACTATTTTTTAAAATTCATTATTGCTTTTTACTTTCATGTGATTTTTTATTTACGTAGAATTTTCCAAAATGCGCAATGCCGCAAATTAACTTTAAAGTAGAAAAAACATGAGAAAAACATCACATCTTTATCATCGAGAAACATACAACCTTGCTAATGAAAAAATCTTAACAACTTTTTTTGATTTTGTTAATCCTGAATAAATTTTCTCAAAATAGTTATCTCAGATAACAAAAATCGTCCTGCATATACATAAAATATTCGTCAATAGACGTAAACATTGCAACAGTCCATCACGAAAGACTTTTTCAAAATATACCTCGGAGTTATTATTCACTAGTTTTGTCTTAATACGACACCGTTTAACTAGTCTTATTGTAGCTTACTTGGCTCGAACTCGGGATACCAAGCGTTCCCATCCCAGCAGGTTCAACGTGCTTGGATGTCAAAAGCACACGGCATTTAGAAGTCAAAGCAAAGACGACTGGTCGATATAGAGTAAAAACAAATATGTATGAGTATAGTGGTATGTCTTTCTGAGTAATATCTGGAATTGTAAACACTTTGGTATGTTCATATATCCTTCTAATTATCATGTAATATTCGCCACTGTACGTTAAACAGTCATGAATATTCTGCGGGTAAATAGTTCAATTGCAACCAAGGACTAGTTTCATCTTCTATATAATTTTATTTTAAAATGCTAGTACAAGTATTTCTCAATGTCCTCAAAAATAAAATCAAAATTATGATGATACGAACGCCTTTGTTATTTATACACACTATTCGTCATTAACATGTTTACAATTTGAATGCATATATCTTTAAATAGCTTTTGAATTGTTAGAACATTTAGATTACGTAGGTACCTATTGTTTAGTAGAAATGTGTGAAGATTGCCTTTTTAAAGGCATGATTTATATATTTTATGCTTACTGTAACTGTGATATTTTTATATTATATACTTTCTACTGTAACTGTGATATTTTTATATCATATACTTTCTACTGTAATTGTGATATTTTTTACATTTTGTTAATAAATCATTTGAATAGATTCTAATTGAATTTATTAATTGAACCCTTTCAAGATGATATGATGATGTGACGTAATAATTGTACACTCGCTCCGAAGGAGGAGGTATACTGGTTTACGTCTGTCTATCTTTCCGTCCTTCCTTCCGTCCCATGAAATTGTGTTTCATTTTTCTCATGAACTACATATCATAGCTTTCCTGAATTTGTTACCAAACTAGGTTACTGTGTGATGCGTTTTACTTTATACCTCGTCAACATTATGTTGACCAAATACTAATAATAACTTAGTAACTACACGGCTTTCTGAAATTGGGAATCAATCTTCTTGTTAGCATGATATACCATATGATGCGTTTTTACATTCTGTTGATCATCAAGTTGGACTTTCTGTTTACCAATTACGTATATAGCGAGAGTATCATTTGTGAAAAATAGATCAGTGTCGATTTTGTTTCTTTTACCTACCCTACTTATTTGGTAAATGACATCAGCTAGAAATGAGACTTGTTACGAAAAAAAGATTGTGTAAACATGTGTGCTATGAATCCGACATGAAAGTTAATGCTATGCATTCAGCAAACAATTTGTGATATGAACCCGACATACAAGTTTGTGCTTTGCATCCTTCATAGAGATGTGTGCTGTAAATCCGACATAATTTTTAGGTGTGTTCCATAAATCTGACAATAAATAATTTTTGGTATGAATCCGACAAAAAAGTTTGTGGTTAGTTTCAGATATAAAAGTTTGTGAAATGTATTGACATACAAGTTTTTGCTTTGCATTCGACATCAATCAGCTATGAATCCGACATAAAAATGTGTGCCAAACAAACGACATAATGAGAAAAATAATGAAAGGGGAGGAACAAAGAGGGAGATTTTAACCTTCCTCGAAGATGACTTTCTATTTTTTAAAGACAGAAGAGGGGGTCTCCCTTCTAGCACTGATGCGTTGGCAGGTATGCAATTCATATGTCTGGATCGTACTGAACATGCATGAAATATTTGCCACTGGACGTTAAGCAACCAACAATAAATCATATGTCTCGATTGGTGGTTCAGTGTTATTTATTACTTGAAAAGACTTATGTTTGTTGCTGAGATTTTTAGTTTCTGTCCCACTTCATACATGTACATATTATCAATTTATAAAAAAATAATATTGGATTATATCGTTTACAAATGTTTACATTTTTTCGTCCGTCCAATTTGTGGTAAACTATTTTTTAAAATTCATTATTGCTTTTTACTTTCATGTGATTTTTTATTTACGTAGAATTTTCCAAAATGCGCAATGCCGCAAATTAACTTTAAAGTAGAAAAAACATGAGAAAAACATCACATCTTTATCATCGAGAAACATACAACCTTGCTAATGAAAAAATCTTAACAACTTTTTTTGATTTTGTTAATCCTGAATAAATTTTCTCAAAATAGTTATCTCAGATAACGAAAATCGTCCTGCATATACATAAAATATTCGTCAATAGACGTAAACATTGCAACAGTCCATCACGAAAGACTTTTTCAAAATATACCTCGGAGTTATTATTCACTAGTTTTGTCTTAATACGACACCGTTTAACTAGTCTTATTGTAGCTTACTTGGCTCGAACTCGGGATACCAAGCGTTCCCATCCCAGCAGGTTCAACGTGCTTGGATGTCAAAAGCACACGGCATTTAGAAGTCAAAGCAAAGACGACTGGTCGATATAGAGTAAAAACAAATATGTATGAGTATAGTGGTATGTCTTTCTGAGTAATATCTGGAATTGTAAACACTTTGGTATGTTCATATATCCTTCTAATTATCATGTAATATTCGCCACTGTACGTTAAACAGTCATGAATATTCTGCGGGTAAATAGTTCAATTGCAACCAAGGACTAGTTTCATCTTCTATATAATTTTATTTTAAAATGCTAGTACAAGTATTTCTCAATGTCCTCAAAAATAAAATCAAAATTATGATGATACGAACGCCTTTGTTATTTATACACACTATTCGTCATTAACATGTTTACAATTTGAATGCATATATCTTTAAATAGCTTTTGAATTGTTAGAACATTTAGATTACGTAGGTACCTATTGTTTAGTAGAAATGTGTGAAGATTGCCTTTTTAAAGGCATGATTTATATATTATATGCTTACTGTAACTGTGATATTTTTATATTATATACTTTCTACTGTAACTGTGATATTTTTATATCATATACTTTCTACTGTAATTGTGATATTTTTTACATTTTGTTAATAAATCATTTGAATAGATTCTAATTGAATTTATTAATTGAACCCTTTCAAGATGATATGATGATGTGACGTAATAATTGTACACTCGCTCCGAAGGAGGAGGTATACTGGTTTACGTCTGTCTATCTTTCCGTCCTTCCTTCCGTCCCATGAAATTGTGTTTCATTTTTCTCATGAACTACATATCATAGCTTTCCTGAATTTGTTACCAAACTAGGTTACTGTGTGATGCGTTTTACTTTATACCTCGTCAACATTATGTTGACCAAATACTAATAATAACTTAGTAACTACACGGCTTTCTGAAATTGGGAATCAATCTTCTTGTTAGCATGATATACCATATGATGCGTTTTTACATTCTGTTGATCATCAAGTTGGACTTTCTGTTTACCAATTACGTATATAGCGAGAGTATCATTTGTGAAAAATAGATCAGTGTCGATTTTGTTTCTTTTACCTACCCTACTTATTTGGTAAATGACATCAGCTAGAAATGAGACTTGTTACGAAAAAAAGATTGTGTAAACATGTGTGCTATGAATCCGACATGAAAGTTAATGCTATGCATTCAGCAAACAATTTGTGATATGAACCCGACATACAAGTTTGTGCTTTGCATCCTTCATAGAGATGTGTGCTGTAAATCCGACATAATTTTTAGGTGTGTTCCATAAATCTGACAATAAATAATTTTTGGTATGAATCCGACAAAAAAGTTTGTGGTTAGTTTCAGATATAAAAGTTTGTGAAATGTATTGACATACAAGTTTTTGCTTTGCATTCGACATCAATCAGCTATAAATCCGACATAAAAATGTGTGCCAAACAAACGACATAATGAGAAAAATAATGAAAGGGGAGGAACAAAGAGGGAGATTTTAACCTTCCTCGAAGATGACTTTCTATTTTTTAAAGACAGAAGAGGGGGTCTCCCTTCTAGCACTGATGCGTTGGCAGGTATGCAATTCATATGTCTGGATCGTACTGAACATGCATGAAATATTTGCCACTGGACGTTAAGCAACCAACAATAAATCATATGTCTCGATTGGTGGTTCAGTGTTATTTATTACTTGAAAAGACTTATGTTTGTTGCTGAGATTTTTAGTTTCTGTCCCACTTCATACATGTACATATTATCAATTTATAAAAAAATAATATTGGATTATATCGTTTACAAATGTTTACATTTTTTCGTCCGTCCAATTTGTGGTAAACTATTTTTTAAAATTCATTATTGCTTTTTACTTTCATGTGATTTTTTATTTACGTAGAATTTTCCAAAATGCGCAATGCCGCAAATTAACTTTAAAGTAGAAAAAACATGAGAAAAACATCACATCTTTATCATCGAGAAACATACAACCTTGCTAATGAAAAAATCTTAACAACTTTTTTTGATTTTGTTAATCCTGAATAAATTTTCTCAAAATAGTTATCTCAGATAACGAAAATCGTCCTGCATATACATAAAATATTCGTCAATAGACGTAAACATTGCAACAGTCCATCACGAAAGACTTTTTCAAAATATACCTCGGAGTTATTATTCACTAGTTTTGTCTTAATACGACACCGTTTAACTAGTCTTATTGTAGCTTACTTGGCTCGAACTCGGGATACCAAGCGTTCCCATCCCAGCAGGTTCAACGTGCTTGGATGTCAAAAGCACACGGCATTTAGAAGTCAAAGCAAAGACGACTGGTCGATATAGAGTAAAAACAAATATGTATGAGTATAGTGGTATGTCTTTCTGAGTAATATCTGGAATTGTAAACACTTTGGTATGTTCATATATCCTTCTAATTATCATGTAATATTCGCCACTGTACGTTAAACAGTCATGAATATTCTGCGGGTAAATAGTTCAATTGCAACCAAGGACTAGTTTCATCTTCTATATAATTTTATTTTAAAATGCTAGTACAAGTATTTCTCAATGTCCTCAAAAATAAAATCAAAATTATGATGATACGAACGCCTTTGTTATTTATACACACTATTCGTCATTAACATGTTTACAATTTGAATGCATATATCTTTAAATAGCTTTTGAATTGTTAGAACATTTAGATTACGTAGGTACCTATTGTTTAGTAGAAATGTGTGAAGATTGCCTTTTTAAAGGCATGATTTATATATATTATATGCTTACTGTAACTGTGATATTTTTATATTATATACTTTCTACTGTAACTGTGATATTTTTATATCATATACTTTCTACTGTAATTGTGATATTTTTTACATTTTGTTAATAAATCATTTGAATAGATTCTAATTGAATTTATTAATTGAACCCTTTCAAGATGATATGATGATGTGACGTAATAATTGTACACTCGCTCCGAAGAAGGAGGTATACTGGTTTACGTCTGTCTATCTTTCCGTCCTTCCTTCCGTCCCATGAAATTGTGTTTCATTTTTCTCATGAACTACATATCATAGCTTTCCTGAATTTGTTACCAAACTAGGTTACTGTGTGATGCGTTTTACTTTATACCTCGTCAACATTATGTTGACCAAATACTAATAATAACTTAGTAACTACACGGCTTTCTGAAATTGGGAATCAATCTTCTTGTTAGCATGATATACCATATGATGCGTTTTT